ACTCACATTTTTTGTCATTCGGAGCATCATCTCTGAGAACCACAGAGCTTCCATAACAAGATCTGGATCATGTGACTTCAACATGGTGGTAATATACGGGAATGCCCCATAGTTCAGCAGTTCTTCACAGTATTTCTCACCATGGTGAGCAAGATTACACAAACACAGCGCTGCCTGTAAACACATAATCATAATATTTGACTGCATTAATTTTTAAAATATTTTCTCACCAAAAAAAAAAATAATATATTTTTTTTTTGCAAATTAAGAATTAATTTTTTTTCTTCACCAAAGTACATTTTTGATTGGTACCACTATTGGTACAATAGTTTCATTTTGATAATTACAATTGCAGTAAATGATGTCACCAAGCATTATGTAATGTGATTAATTACTGTAAAATCTGTATTAAAAGCCGCGGCTTCTAATAAAATGGTACAATGCAACAGAGGGGATGCGGCTTCTATTAGAGCATCTACACATATGAGAAATGGTGAATTTTTAGGTCTCAATTGTTCAAAAAGAATGGGTGCGGCTAACATTAGGGATGCAGCTTCTAATACAGATTTTACGGTACTCATGATGAGGTTTGATTCAAGTTAAGGTTGAAGTGAAGTGAAGGGAAAGAAATTACATGACCAATTGTATTTGTCAACAGTTGTTTGTAGGAATGAAACATGTTTCATTTTTCACATTTAGTTGGTCGACTCTTTATAACTATTAAAACGTTTTAAAGCAATGCGTCGTCATAAAAAAAGAACATTTCTTTTTTGAAAAAATAACTGTTAGCAGACTACGCATGTTCACCTTGAGTCAACAGATATTATAACGATCATAGATGTATATAAATGTTAAAGGGGAATCGCTCAATCCCATGGATTGCACAACGTGCTTATGGGTAATTAACTCTGCCTCTGGCCACTAAGTAAATGAATGCTTATTATGCTCGCTTAACCTCATGATTTTTACATGTCGCGGTACGTTTTGACTGAAAACAACAACACTTATACATCAAAAGCCCAACCAGATGACTGTAATCGCTAGCGTACATATTCATGCCCCATTCAAAAGGTATTTGGAATCACAGCTTGATCTCTAAACATCGTAAATCGCACAATTCCCGGAGCTCCCGCCACGATGTGAGCGGCTTGGTTCGGATTAGCATACTAATTGTGGTGGCCATCTTGCCCCTACTTACATGTATAGTATCGGTTCCCCTTTTAGGTGTTACGATAATAATTTGGCAAAGGCTTTGTTGAGAGAGTTATTTTCCTTGAATTCACTACAAATCACAGAAAAGCTACTGCACAGTTATGCTGTTAGGGTTGAAAATTGTTTTATTGCCTGCAGACATAGGTTTGATCTGTTTTCGCACTGACACGCCCTCCACAGCATTCTATTACTGTTGCACCAAAACTTATTACAACAATTTTGATTCATGTTATCGTTTATTGAGAAGTTTACAATATATGTACAATGTAATATAAGGGAAACTGCTGTTATTTTGTGAGAGATAAAGATAATATAATAGTAATATTTTCAGTGTATCACAGTGATATGAACAGCAATGTGAACACTAGTGAACAGTGACATGAAAAACATTGAACAGTGATATGAACAGCAATGTGAACACTGTTGAACAGTGACATGAAAAACATTGAACAGTGATATGAACAGCAATGTGAACACTAGTGAACAGTGACATGAAAAACATTGAACAGTGATATGAACAGCAATGTGAACACTGGTGAACAGTGACATGAAAACATTGAACAGTGATATGAACAGCAATGTGAACAGTGACATGAAAAACATTGAACAGTGATATGAACAGCAATGTGAACACTAGTGAACAGTGACATGAAAACATTGAACAGTGATATGAACAGCAATGTGAACAGTGACATGAAAAACATTGAACAGTGATATGAACAGCAATGTGAACACTAGTGAACAGTGTTGTGAAGAGTGGTGAACAGTTACATGAACAGCATTGTGAACACTAGTGAACAGTGACATGAAAAACATTGAACAGTTACACGAACAGAATTGTGAACACTAGTGAACGGTGACAAACAGTGACATGAAAAACACTGAACACTTGTGAACAGTCATAAAAACGGCAATGCGAACACTGGTGAACAGTGACATGAAGAGTGGTTAACAGTGAAAGAAACAGCATTGTGAACAGTAATGAACAGTGACGTGACGTGATAGGTGATGAACAGTGACTTAAAGAGCAATGTAAATACTGGTGAACAGTGATGTGATACATGTAGGTGGTGAAGTGATGTGAACAACATTGTGAACACTAGTGAACAGTGACGTGATTGGTGGTGAACAGTGATTTGAACAACATTGTGAACACTAGTGAACAGTGACATGATTGGTGGTGAACAGAGATTTAAACAGCAATGTAAACATTAGTGAACAGTGATGTGACAAGTGGTGAACAGTGATGTTAACTACAATTTTCATAAATGCCCTTAAATTATCAAAAAATGAACTGATAATAATTATGTACATGTGTATGTAATAAATTAGCAGAAGGATCCATCTCCATATTGTATTTG